GCAGCCCACGCCCCCGGCAGCCGGCTCCCGGCGGACCCCGCGCGCAACTGGGGCCACAGTACACAGTGGGCTGGGTAGTATGCGCGTGCGCGGCGAGGACGGCCGGCAGCTGTTTGCTGCGGACCGGGGATGGTCCGGCCCGCGCGGCGGGCGGAGCTTGGCTTCTCCAGGGCCCGCCCCGGGGCACGGGCTGGGCGGGCGGCCGGGCTTAGTTCCCCGCCCTCGGCTTCCCTTCCAGCAGAATCTAGGCTCGCAGGCGCCCTTGCGCTGGGCTGCGTGAGCCCCGACCCTCATTCCGACGACGGCGAGAGGGGAGGAAGGCGCAGTCGGACCTGGCGGCCCTTGGGTCCGTTCGCCCTTAAATCGAACTCGCGGTGCGCGCCACAGGAAGCCGCCCCTCCTGCCCGACCTGCGGAGCGGTCTGGCCCTTAAAATAAACCCTGACTCGCGCCCCCCACACACACCCCGCCTCCGAGGCCCCGCGCCTGGGCCATCTGCCCAGAGCCCGTGCTGAGCCCCCAACTATGAAGTAGACAGCCTCCCCATCCTCTGTCCTCTCCTCGCTTCGCCCTTAGCCTGATTAGTGATTGTACATGTGTGTGCACCGCATTCGTACTTGGTCTTTTGTCTTTACTGTGACTATCATGAGATTAGGGTCCAATATTGGGTCTGGGGAAAAATTTAGTAGGTAGTGACCAGCGTTTAGTAAAAATGAAATAGAATGAGAGAAAAAATAGAGCGTACTGCATAATGAAAATAAGTACTATTGTGCAAAGCATTGCATTCTCATTGCCTGTGGGCTTGGTCAGACATAAAATGTATCTTTTGCTAAGTTGAGAACAATTTACCGCATGCCAGGTAGGAGTGGTGACTACCTGTTTAAGTGAGGAGGACACAGGCCCAATGTGTAAGTTGCAAGTAGGCCTGAGAGTGCTTGGTGGGCTTTTGGTCTGGTGTCACCCATCTGAAACCCCACACCATTTTCTGCCTTTTGTGAAACCCACGAAAGGAGAACAGAGAAAGCACAAGAGAAGGTAGAAAAGTCTTCCAGTCTTAAATGCTATGATTTAGCTGTGTATTCCAAAATCAATTCTTAGGTCCGGGGAAGTTGTATTCAAGAGAACGGAGACAGCCAGTTAAGACTTGGCCCTGCCTGGTAAAGAGAGTCCTGGGAAGTCTGGACTTGGCCTCCCTCAGCTTGGCACACCCACTTGGTCACAGAAGGCTGCACTTGCTGGAGTAGGTCTGTGAGCACCTTGGCCACCTGGCTGATTATCCTGCTGTGGGGCTGAGGGACCCCTGCCATGACTCCATGCCTCCCAGTTTCTGAGCCACAAATCTCTGTGTTGAGAGTGGGGTGCATTCTTCACTAACAGGAGCTAGTTCTGTCTTAGAAAAAGCTGAATCCTAAGTCCCAGGACACAAGGTGGGGGTGTGGAGGTGCTGTTCCCTGAGATCTCTGGGTGCCCACCAGACTACTAGGTATGCAGCTGAGTGGTTCCCTGAGGACACTGGCCACAGTGACATGCCCTCAGAGCAGAAGCTAAAAATACATACTGTGCAATGGTCCAGGAATGTGTCCTGCCCAACGCCAGGATTGGAGGGTGCTTGGGAAAGGCCAATGAAGGGGAACGGTTGTGCTGGACCATTGGTATGGTTTATTTCCATCAGCACCTCATGAGGCCAGCTCTCCACATGTGTGCAGGTCTGGAGAGCCCACCTACTTGGTCATCACCAAGCCTCAGACCTATGAGCTGAGGGATGTACAGACATGAGCTAGGGTTCTACGACCCCTGGTCAGGCACATTTCCAGCCTTGGTTTCTCCATTTGGCAAAAGGAGATTATAGGTGCCCTGTGCATCTCACAGATGTACTCTAGTCAACCTGAAAATGACTGTGAAAGGCTTTGAGGGACAGGGGTCAACATGTGGGGGACAGGCTGTGCAGAGGACCACAGGGGCAGTCTCAGAGATCTCTACTGCAACCACAATCCACCACTTCCTCAGCACCTACCATGTGTATAGAAGAGAGTGAAGAAGTCCCTAATTCCAGGATCAATTCCTGGGTCCGGGGAAGTTGTATAACGTTAACAAGTAGAAGACATAGAGACAGGTCCCTTTCCCCCATTGTGTTGTCAGTCTTGCTGGGATGACACAGGCCAGTGTCTTGCAACAGATAAGGGCACACTGCTACAAAAAGCCATTCTGTGACTCAAACCTACATTTGAAAAAGAGCAACCAGCACACCATTCATCTCACGAGTGTTGTTACCAGTGGGACGGACACAAGCTGATTCAGAGAAAAATGTGAATAGACAGATAGTCCACAGGTAAAACAGAAATTGAGTCAGTGGTCTAAAGTGTAGGAACGTGCCAGGGAGGGGGACCTTGCCTGTACCCTCGTGTCATTCAGGAATTGGCACGGAGTGGAGCTGAGGGAGCATCTTCAGATATTCACCCCACCTGGACCAACCTTCCCACCATAGCCACAGGGAGCAGAAGGAAGCACAGGTAGGCTGGGCCTGAGACTCCTTGCTGGCTTCATAGTGGGCAG